AAAAAAAAAAAAAAAAATTTCTAGAAGCCTATTTTAACAACCAGAAAGTTGTTACAGTGGTGCAGCTCTCAGGTTTATTGTTAACTGCTTTACAACAGAGTGACTTTACATACTTTTTAACAGCATTTATCGCAGCAGATTATAATTACTGGTTCGTGTCTGTTTTCCGGGAAGCTGCAGACCAGGGTGTAGCTTATCATAGTGGTTCTCTTAATTGCTTGTGTTGCCTTTTTACCTTAGAACCCATCTATCAAGTAGTGATACGTCGAGATTCTAGGAGAACCGGGAACGCAGGAGTGTATGTATGTATATGTGCACATGCATCTGTGTGTGCTTGTATGTAACGCACACGTTATGGAGTTTATCTTCTAATCACGTACACGCACGTGCAGTTGTGATGCTCATACATGTGCGTGCGTGTATAATGTGCGCATAGCCAGGGAGCCAGCGTGTGATGAGTTGGGTGACATAATGCAGCGTGCGTGTGACATGCGTACACACCCACATACGCGCTTGGCATTTTCTCCGGGCCTAGAACAGCGTCTGGCACACATTTGGTGCTGAACAACAGTAGCTCTTCATTTACCCTGTCTTCTCGTTGTGTCCCTGCCTTTCTTTGGCACTAGACTGCAAGTTTCCCAGTAAGCAGGAACTGAATTGACAGGAACTGAACTTCCTTGTGTATCCCAGAAAGTTGGTCTCCTTGCTTTGAGCACTGCGCCTGGCATGAGCGATCGGAGTAGCCCGTCGCCAGCCGCTGCGGCCTGGGGTGGTGACACACACAGGGCTTGCTTTCTGTCCCCGTGGCCCTGCAGATGGAGCTTCTGCCGCCATGCGCTGGGCTTTCAGAGGAGCAGCTTTGGGCCCCCAGGTGCCGCGTCCCAGCAGCGGGGTCCTGGCATGGGGTAGCGGCAGGCACAGAGCCGTCGCTAGGGACCAGCGGACAGTTCTGGTCAGTGTCGCACTGCACACTTGCTGAAAGGGAGGTTTTCACTTGCAGGATGCGTTGCTTGTGAAACAGGAAATCAGTGCAGGAGTGGAAGGTTTGTACTGTCTTCTTATTTTTCAGCTAAATCCAGATGTGAATGTTTTCCAGCGGAAGTTCGTGAATGAAGTCCGGAGATGTGAAGAAATGGACCGAAAGCTTCGTATGTACATTTTGGTCCGGTGTGGTGCATTCTCTGTCTTAGATGGGAGACAGTGTTCTCTCAGTGCAAGGGGAAAACGGGGGGAGGAGGAGGAGGAGGAGGAGGGGGAGGAAGAAGAGGAGGAGGAGAGAGGAGGAAAAGGAGGAAGAGGAGGAGGAAGAGAGGAGGAGGAGGAAGAATAGGAGGATGAGAGGAGGAGGAGGAAGAAGAGGAGGAGGAAAAGGAGGAGGAGGAAGAGGAGGAGGAGGAAGAAGAGGAGGAAAAGGAGGACGAGAAGGAGGAGGATGAGGAGGAGAAGGAGGAGGAGAAGGAGGAGGAGCAGGAAGAAGAGGAGGAAGAGGAAGAGGAGGAGGATGACGTGGAGGAGAAGGATGAGGTGGAGGAGGAGGAAGAGGAAGAAGAGGAGGGGGATGAGGAGAAGGAGAAGGATGAGGAGGAAGAAGAGGAGGAGGAC